TTTTATATTCGTTGAAAAAAGTTAATTAGTAAATTTTATATATGATGTCAATTAGTTTTGATCTACATAGTCTATCGCACAACCCAATATATCATCAATTGCTTCATTTGTATAACAATGCTTGCACAATTGGTTTTTTTTGAACATTGACATGTATTTGTTTTATAATAAAGGGCGAGATTAAAGTATCATCTTTATTTCATACTCATCATCATTCATATTAACATATATGTCAGAATCAAATTCTTCCTCTGAACTTTCTATATTTTCAGTTTGAGCAGGTTGTAAAGATTGAAAATTGTTCTTTACCCTTTGCATGATGATTTAAGTAATCTTCATCCCAGCATCTATTAAGTACCACAAATCCAAATAACCTTCTTAGCATGAATAATATGGGCACAATATGAGTATTTTAAAAGTTGCTCTTTACAGAAGACATGGTAAAAATGATAATTTTATTCTATCTAATATAGTAATAGTTGACCCAATTTATTTGAAACATATGACCTTTCAAAAAATTAAAAAAATTAACAAAAATAAGCAAACTAAACATATGAGGTCATTGGTATTTTGCCTAATTCTAAACAAATCCATTTCCTAACCATGACTAAAATTACACTAGCTAAGCAAACCCTACTAATAGATTGATTTTGTGAAACATAAAATTTTACAAATTAGGATGCCACATAGATATAAATGAAACAAAAAAGACAAAAGAGAATCTCACCAATTTATGGCTGTTTCTTTACATTAATTACCTTTTCTTCTTCTCTAATTCTTTAAATAAAGCACCTTTTGTTTCTTTCATTAATTCATACAATTGTCCAATCTGTTGATCATTAAATTTCTCTAAATCATCAAAATTTTTTCCATATTTAATATTATTCACATTATCATCACCATCACTGTCACTTTTACTGCTCTTACTGCCACTACTAATATTAATATCATTAGTGTTAGAATCTTCTTGGTCATGTTTCTTGTTGGATATTTGTGATTCAAGTACCTTTAAATAATTTTGCCATTGAGTTAAAAATCCAACAATGTGAATTGGATTTGTTATATCTTTATGTTGTCTAAATTCTGATTTAACATAATCATCTCCTACTAGACGTAAAGGTGTTGGTAATTGTTGATGGATCCTTAGAATTTGACGATATAATGTTAATGGTGGCAATAATTTTGAATTTAAGATTTTAGTAGATTGTGAAATTAATTGTTGTCTTGAATTCATCCTAGTTTCGTTATATTCTTTTAACAAAAAAAATTTTTTGTGTAAAAATCAAAAAATTCAAATTTAAAAATTTTAATTTGTAAATAACATTGAATAAAAAATTTAAATACAACCATACTTCAATCGTCATCTATAATCACTACAACTATTACGATGATTTAACAATGATTATTAAAGAAGATGGAGTATTAATAAATTTAATAAATTGAAAAATATACGATTTTTTTGATCTGATATAGTTTTATAAAGTTTAAATTAATTAAAATTACGAAGCGAACGAATATAAAATAAGTTCCTTCTTTCAAAAATCAAAAAATATATCCAATAACAATAAATTCTTTTTTCCAATTATTCTTTATTACTAATGCCAATAATATTAAAAATAAAAATAAATAGCTATTGCCATCATTATCTTCATCTTCATCTTTTAAATTCCCTTTTTATTATCAATTAATTTATTTACAATAATAAACTCACATTCCATCACACCTCTAACAATTTCAATTAGATTGATAACAATAACAATAATTAATTAAAAGCGATCTTTCTTTGAATGTTTTACCAGCAAGCGAACCATTTTTCGATACTTATTATATATAATATGGCTGATTATTTAACCTCAACAGATTCCTTGGTATCCTAACAACAACAACAACAATAAAATGATGGAGTTATTGTCGACGATGCTCTTTGCCTTCTTCCACCTTCATCACATTGTCTTCCGTCTTGCTCACCACCACATTATGCTCCTTGCATTCATCATCTTGATTTTCCTGTAAAATGTATTGTTTGATGATGCTATTACAGACATATTATGTGATTGTTTTTTACGGCAATGATGTTGTTGTCATGGTAAATGTAATTTTAATATACAACACGTGTTCAATCATTTTCTTGATTTTGGTGTAATCTAATACCAAAAAAAATTTTTTTTGATAAATCATGGAAACAAATGATTTAGATTTGACAAGAAAGTCAATCTTAGAACAACGCAAAAGAACTTTGTTATATTTATTAACTTTCATATTTTCTCGTAAAGATTATGAATGTTTGTCGCCTAGCTTATCAAAAATACTTAAAAGTGTTGGTTTGAAAATACCAAATAACGAAGAATTCAAAGATGCCTCAAAGTAATCCCTCCATTTACTTTTAATTATTATAATTATAATCATTAATTAATTAATTATCAATGATAGTTTAAAGCCACACGACCATCAAACTGCCATTAAAGCAATTTTTTGTCTTCACGATGACTGTTTACCTAACACTTCTAGAAGTGGTTTATTGGCTTTTTTAAAGGTTACTGCTATTACAATTGTTATCGAGATTTTGTTAAATTTATCAAAAAATTTAAAAAAGAAAAAAAGGTCAGTAATAAATTATAAAATTACAAAATTACAAAATTACAAAATTACAAACTACAAAATTGATAAATATTACTATTGCACATTCACTCACTCAAACATTTATATGTCTAATTTAGTATTTTTAAACTATTGGACGAAAGACAAATAAAATCTAGTTATCGATTTGCAATCTCAGTTTCCTCTTACATAGTAATATATAAATCATTACTTAGATTTTTCATACGTCTACTCGATCCTCTATTAAAACCTCCAACGAATCCAAGTATCAATGATGTTGTTTGTTCACCATTGGTTCCTCCATTTTTGGCCGGATGTTTGGCTGGTCCTTGTTTATTGATCGATAATGATAAACCTAGAAGAATCTCCTTTGCTATTTATACATTTACTAAAAGTTTACAATTTTTATATCATTATCTAAGGAAAACTCATATAATACCAAAAATGTCATGGTGGTGGGGTTCTTGGTTAATATTTCCATTGAGTTCTGCTCAATTGATCTATTCCTATTTGTTACATCCTGATACTTTTCCTGTATGTTTATAAAATATATATATATTATGTTTCATGTATACATATTAATATTATAACTTTCTTTTAGGAATCTTATTCAAATTTCATCACAAGCCGTAGTTCCACTTATGTCCAACCAATCCCTGAATATTTTCCAAAATCAATTTCATGGCCAACTGGTAGAGAAATAGTGGATCGTATAGAAATACTGGCTTCACTTTATTATCCAAAATTCTATTCATCAAAACTCCATGGTCGTGATGCTCCGCCATTACCTGACGCTTTAAAATCTGTCAAAGTGATATTTGAGATAGCTCATCCTGCTCATACAAAAATGATGTGTGCTATGTTACATCCTGAAGATCCAAGTTGTCTGAGAACTTTTACAAAATTTATTGTAAAAGAAGGTTTGACAGCTTTGAAATTTATGGGAGTTATGCATGCAGTTGGTTTATTGTTTAAATCAAAATCTTTTCTTAAGAGGTAAATAATCTTGTTTTTTTTTATTTATTATTTTAATTTTTTTATCATTAAAATAGATCCATTAAATATATTTAAATAAATATAATTTATTATTTTTAGACCAAATGATATTATAAAACATATTTTAAATTCCACAATACCTGCAACATTTAAAGGAGCAACATTTATTACGATGGCAATTTCAACTGCATGGGCTTTAATTTGTGGTTTTCAACAAGTCCTACCAAATAAATTTATGCCTATTTCAAGGTAAAAAAGTTTAATGATTAATTAATAATATAATGGAGTAATAATGATATTTCCTATATATATATAATTTTATAAATATATGCAATAGAATTTTTATTAATGGATTTATTGGAGGATTATGGATTTTAGTTGAAAGTCCAAATCGTAGATTAGATATTGGAATGTATAGTTTACGTTTATCAATTGAATCTACTTGGAAATTACTATTAAAAAAAGGAAAAGTTAGGAATATTAGGTAATGATTTTCAAACATATTTACACATTAATATTTACTACATATTAATATTTTTATAATAAACAATAGGAACGGAGAAGCAATTTACTTTTCATTAGCTATGGGATGTATAATGGCAATTTACAAAACTCAACCAAAAAGCATTTCTAGTTATTACAGAATTATTATTAAAAAATTGCTTAATGAGTAATCTAAATAATATTGTTAGTTAGGCTTTGTTCAAAAAGTTTAAAGTAGGTTATTCGTATTGAAATTGATATCTTTTAGATCAACTTTCGGAATAATTATTATTATTAAAAAATTTTTTCGTAATTTTTATTTACAAAAACTAATAATTATGGAAAGACATCATCATGAAAACAAGACATTATAAACAAACTAGTTCATTGTGTGTGTACATATATATATATATATATATATAATTAAATATGGAAGGGTTTCAAAAACAGCTGATTCATCAAAAAAAAGATATTTTAGAAATTTTACCAAACTTCATTTCATTGTTGTCTATCTTCCTTCTATCGACTTCCAACAGAATATACAAATAAATTTAGTAAATAAAAACAATGATTACAACAACATTAACAAATAAAATAAAAAAAATATATTTATAAATAAAATAAAAATAAAATAAAAAACATAATGATGGTAGTAAAGCAAAAGTAAAAAAAGAAATGAGTTAATATAAAAAAAATTATATATATAATTTGTACATAGAAAACTGAAAAAAAAACAATATAATAATATTAATTAAAGATTGTCCATTTGAAGGAAAGAATAAAATAACAGTTAAAAAACATTATATGGCATATAATATAATATGAAAGGGAAAGATATATATATATATATATATATAACACGACAAACAATGATTGTTCCTTATATATATATATATATATATTATTAATTTTTTTTAAATTAAGCAATTTTTTCGTATATTGACTAAAGCACTAGAACCAACACCATTTCTAGAAAGTTCATTTAATGCTACTGAAGTTTGTCGATAGATTTGTTCCAATGGTGGAATTGCAGGTTTTCCTTGTGATACTGAAAAATAAATGATTCGATGGTATGAAGAATTAATATTGTTGTATTTATAAACTGGAATTTTTTTCACAATAAAATTTTTTCACCTAAAATTGCACTATTTAATGCATTGGCAACTGGCTCACGTTCAGATGGATCTAATAAATAAGAAACAACACTTTCTCTTGGATCAGTATACGCTAATAATGAAAATGTTTCCTAATAATAAATAAATAAATAAATAAATACATAAATATATATACATATATCGAATGTTTAATAAACAACATTATCTTAAACAAATATATATATCTAACCAATAATTTCTTTTTTACTTCTTCTCGAGTATCATCACGATAATCATCTTGTAATTCCTGACCGAATCGTACAGCAGACTCTATCATTCCTCCCAATCCATTTAAGTTTACTTCGGGTCCTTTCCGCCGTTTTAATGTTTTTTTGTTTTTGTTTGATAAATTATCATCTTCTAATAAATTATTGAGTTCATAATCATTCTGTGTATTTGAAAAATCATCAACTTCCATTGCATCCTCATATTCATCATCGTCCTCATCGTCATCATCTTCCTCCTCATCGTCATCATCATCGTCATCTTCCCTCTCTTCTATTTCTCCCGCCTCGTTGTTATTTTCATCACTATCATTATCATCGCTATCTTCCTCAATCACACCACCATTATCTCCAAAGACTTCAATATCATCATCTTCCGCAATAATGTCGTCTCCATTATTTTCTCCCTCGCCCTCATCAATCATTTCAACTAATTTTTTATCTTTCTTGATCGTGACATCATCTTCGTCTGAACTCATTATTTGACTACCAGCACACTCTCTCATCATTTCGATAAATTTGCGACATCGAAGTTGAAACAAAATATCATCGTTAGAAGGTAAAACTGATGGATAAAACTTATTGGTTAATTTGATGGCATCATCTATATCACCTTTAAGGACAGAATCTCGAATTCCTATAAAACAACAATAATATAAATTCAATAAAAATTAATTTCACGATAAACTATCTTTTTCAAATTATCAATCTTAAAAAAAAAAAAATATGTATAATTGTTTTTCATACTCTGCCTATTTAACATATCTTTATCTAAATTA